CTGGTTTTGGGCAGAAAAGCCATGCTTCATTTGGCCAAATAGGACTTTCCCTTAACTTTTTAACCCCTGGATGGAATTGGCTGAATTTTGGTTATGTTTATATTTAAAGTATGCTGATTCTGAATATGTATGTTTTATGTGAATATGATGCACACTTTTAAAGTTACAGTGTATCTATAAAAAGTGTATTTGCCTGCCTGTGATAAATTACATTAACCCATTGTGTTCAGTAATTATATCACAGGCAGAGGGGAGGGATGTATGTTTGTGCTGGGTGTGTTTTACGGTTCTCCTGTAAATGATTGGTTGTACTGTGTCCTACCCTGTGGGATGTCCCCTTGCATGAGGACTTGCATAAAAGCCAGTGTGTGGCCATTACAGTAAAGTTCCTGCATAACCCTCAAAGTGAAGTGTAGTCTCATTATTGGGGGAGGATCTATTGTATGCTGTTCCAGTTTGACTGCTAGGAGTGTAAACCTATTCGCATGGTTTTTCCTATTTGGCTGTATACAACATTCATATGCTTAAAAGTACTCATATGCTTCTCCGGTTCGGTGATTGTTGTGTCTGCCAGAGTGCTTGGAGTCCTCAGGAAATGCTAGGAGCATCCTTTAACGGAGGTACCCAGTCGGGGTGCCAGGTGATTCGTTACAGGGTGTTCAAGAGAAGGGAGCATAGTAAGTGGGAAACAGCAGAGGAAGGTCGAAAAAAATGTGCTTATAGGCTTATCTCAAGAAGTGTATTTTCATGGATTTTTTTGAAGGACATCAGAGATGGGGAAAGTTGAAAGTAGAGTGGGATGGTATTCTATATGGAGGGGGGAAGCCCTGGAGAAATCCTTCATGCAAGAGTCTGGGGTGGGGTATGACAATGGGATAGTAACAGGTTTCTGGTGGAGCAAAGAGGCCAAGTTGAAACATATTGTCAACTGAATCTCTGTCCTGTGGACCCCAAGCCTTATCAGCCCTACTGGCAAATTGTTGATGCAGATGACGACATCTTTGTTGATGTCCAGCTCCTGGAAGAGGATCTGTAGTCTCCGCTTGTGCTTAGACTCCCTAACAGTGCTCCCATGCATGGCTCTGTGGCTAGGGCAGCAGATATTTCACTTGAAATATTAAGAGGTATGGGGGCAGCTAAAAATAATTAAAAAATTATGAAATATGACCTTTCCGCCTTAGTTCCATATGAAACCAAGACAGCTGTTCTCCCTTGAACAGGCATACGTTAAAATGGCACTGGGCCCAATTAATACAAACATACAAGATCCAGCGCACTCGCTCACTCATTAAAAACCAACCTCAGAGCTCACAAAATATTTTTTTATTTTTAAACAATTGACCTGAGTATATGATCATACATGACAAAAGCCTGCCATGATGCCAATGCACAACCTTTAGATGCAGTGATAGGTAAATAGTAGATCCAGTGAAGTTGGTGCTTTAATTTTGCACACAGAGATGGATTGAGACGCCATAGAGCCTGGCTGATGCACAAATTTAGAGAAAGAGAGAGGAATTACCAATTCTAGAGAGTTAGACTACAACAGGAATATAATAGTATGGCAGTTAGAGTAGTATTAAATTACAATTAGTTGACAACACCGTTCCAAATTTAAGCCAAAAGGGCAAAGCTGAAATAGCGGACATTGAGTTCTTTCTAACTTGGCTATTTTTATCATTTACCACACATTTACTGAACAAATCTCTTTGAAAGACAATGGCAGGAGAAATATAATTATTGTTTGGGTGGAGGTGGAAAGAGAGTTAATTGATAGGAGAGACTAAAGCTCAGGAAGAGGATGGATAGATGATACAAGGTTTGAGATTCTGACGTTTCTGAAGTGGTATAAAATGTTCACCAATTGTGAAGACCCTTTTATATTGATTATAATAGTATGATAAATCTTCTCCTGTGGATCAGTGTTTACTGGGAAACCATGGTGATATAATCCTGTGATGTCATAAGGCTACTTTTACTATAGATACTTAAACATTCTATTTCTCCCCAAGACTTATCTGAGGCTCTGACAGAGCTTCTCCACCATTCCATCCCCACCGCATGAGATCTATGCCCCAACCTGGATTTGGAGCTTGAGTACCGTAAATCAGCAATGGTGATTTATAGGGCAGTGTGCAGCATCCACTTTAAGTGCTACAGAGAGTTCATTGGTCAGTGAGTCTGGCCCCAGCTGACAGAAGGGAGCCCCAAGTATGTGTCATTGGCTGACTCATTATTTTTTAATGTCACCCCTAACTCTCTGAGTTTTAATTGTCCCTACTAAAGTATTTTTTCAATATGGGCCATTTTACAGCTTTATTGCCATGCGCCATAGTTTTCAGGATCCTTAAAGTGATGGATTGTCTCCACCCTCTTTTGCACATACTCTGCCCTGCAATTAAATTCATCTTTCATCGAGGGGTTGCAAAAAGTTAGCATTGCCAGAATAAATGTAAAGGACCAAATTGGGAGGTGAGAATTGAGGGAAAATTATATTTGACAAATGAGGTGGAACTTGCCTTAAGCTCCACCCTGTTTCAAGCGCAGAGGAAAATACATATGACAAAGTAGTACTTTCAGAAAAGAAAAGCATATTCTGAGAGAGGGAGAAAAGAGAAATTAATATAAGAAAGGTAAGTTTGGCAAGACAGAGTTGCTTTAAAACTTAGCTGCCACTTAAATGTATGACATACCAGTACAGGGAGTGCAGAATTATTAGGCAAATGAGTATTTTGACCACATCATCCTCTTTATGCATGTTGTCTTACTCCAAGCTGTATAGGCTCGAAAGCCTACTACCAATTAAGCATATTAGGTGATGTGCATCTCTGTAATGAGAAGGGGTGTGGTCTAATGACATCAACACCCTATATCAGGTGTGCATAATTATTAGGCAACTTCTTTTCCTTTGGCAAAATGGGTCAAAAGAAGGACTTGACAGGCTCAGAAAAGTCAAAAATAGTGAGATATCTTGCAGAGGGATGCAGCACTCTTAAAATTGCAAAGCTTCTGAAGCGTGATCATCGAACAATCAAGCGTTTCATTCAAAATAGTCAACAGGGTCGCAAGAAGCGTGTGGAAAAACCAAGGCGCAAAATAACTGCCCATGAACTGAGAAAAGTCAAGCGTGCAGCTGCCACGATGCCACTTGCCACCAGTTTGGCCATATTTCAGAGCTGCAACATCACTGTAGTGCCCAAAAGCACAAGGTGTGCAATACTCAGAGACATGGCCAAGGTAAGAAAGGCTGAAAGACGACCACCACTGAACAAGACACACAAGCTGAAACGTCAAGACTGGGCCAAGAAATATCTCAAGACTGATTTTTCTAAGGTTTTATGGACTGATGAAATGAGAGTGAGTCTTGATGGGCCAGATGGATGGGCCCGTGGCTGGATTGGTAAAGGGCAGAGAGCTCCAGTCTGACTCAGACGCCAGCAAGGTGGAGGTGGAGTACTGGTTTGGGCTGGTATCATCAAAGATGAGCTTGTGGGGCCTTTTCGGGTTGAGGATGGAGTCAAGCTCAACTCCCAGTCCTACTGCCAGTTCCTGGAAGACACCTTCTTCAAGCAGTGGTACAGGAAGAAGTCTGCATTCTTCAAGAAAAACATGATTTTCATGCAGGACAATGCTCCATCACACGCGTCCAAGTACTCCACAGCGTGGCTGGCAAGAAAGGGTATAAAAGAAGAAAATCTAATGACATGGCCTCCTTGTTCACCTGATCTGAACCCCATTGAGAACCTGTGGTCCATCATCAAATGTGAGATTTACAAGGAGGGAAAACAGTACACCTCTCTGAACAGTGTCTGGGAGGCTGTGGTTGCTGCTGCACGCAATGTTGATGGTGAACAGATCAAAACACTGACAGAATCCATGGATGGCAGGCTTTTGAGTGTCCTTGCAAAGAAAGGTGGCTATATTGGTCACTGATTTGTTTTTGTTTTGTTTTTGAATGTCAGAAATGTATATTTGTGAATGTTGAGATGTTATATTGATTTCACTGGTAATAATAAATAATTGAAATGGGTATATATTTGTTTTTTGTTAAGTTGCCTAATAATTATGCACAGTAATAGTCACCTGCACACACAGATATCCCCCTAACATAGCTATAACTAAAAACAAACTAAAAACTACTTCCAAAAATATTCAGCTTTGATATTAATGAGTTTTTTGGTTTCATTGAGAACATGGTTGTTGTTCAATAATAAAATTAATCCTCAAAAATACAACTTGCCTAATAATTCTGCACTCCCTGTATGTCTAAGATGTGTGCCCCTAATTTGAAAGAAATCTTAAATTAAAATAGAAAAATGCATAACAAATTTTTTTTTAAATTGCTTCAGTCATTATCTTACACAAAGGTTTTAAATGATAAGGAATTTAGCATATGACAACTTTCAAACGCACTGAAATATACCATGGACAGTCTACTACAGAATGAAGTATCTCCCAACCATTCCCTTTATTCAACATAAACTGAAGGTTACCGTTAGGTCAGTTTAAGTATCACATACTATAAAAGCATGCATATGGAAGCACAACACACTTTAGCCGAACTCAAGCCAATAGTCTCACAAAGCAGAATCCTATGGGTGCCCCTTTTGGAACACCTTTGCTAACAGAGGTTTTTATTTTGTCATTGTGGGTGCCAAAGGCATGTCTAGAATTTAATTTTAGCATAGCACTAAATCACTATATACATATTCATAAAATAAACATTTGCAAATATTAGACTTCTATAACATCTATAAAAGGTCAAATGGACACATTTTTTTTTTACTATGCACAAATACAGAGCTGTATTTTTTCTTTCCAGTGAAATAATTTTGGAAAGTATCTCTGCTTTCCTGTTTTTATAGCTTATACTATATTTAAATCTTTTGCATGAATCCATTGCATATTTCCCCAGTGAAAAATAAATATATATTTTCTTTAAAACATGTGAGGTAATACTATTTTTAAGTTAACTTAAGCCACTATTTATTAGCCAAAGGCACAAGGAAATCACACCTTTGCATTAAAGCACCTTTTGATACCGAAAAGCTTAATCTTAAAGGACTTTTCCATTTTACTTTTGTACCCACACACACACATATACACACAACAAAATCAGCGTCATGGTTTAAATTGATAGCTGGTGTAGGGATGAAAAGAATCGCAGTGTGATTAGTTTAGGGCTCTTTTGCAAAACTGATGAGACAGCAAATGATATTCAATCCCATTAAAAAGACTTAGCACGGATTTCTCTCTTTCTCTTCTTGAAAAAAAAAACAAACCCCATTCCTTGCATCGGGAAGGTTTGATACGATTCTACAGTTCAGGGAGATTGGAAATCATAGGACATCTAAAATGAAATTGGTATTCTTTGGCAAACTGATGAATCACTTACTGCCAATGACTGGAAGGAAAGTACGTGTTTATGCCCTTATGTAATGAATTTTTATGAGGTGCAGTTTTCTGTTTATATAAAGAAAAAAAAGAAAAAAGACTTGCACAAGCTTAATGCTTCTACAGATATAAAGTAATCGAATTTAAAGTGCTATGCTGGAATCTATGCATAGGCATTCACTTGCATAAAGCCAGCCTGAAAAAAATATTATCTGTTTTTTGTAAAAAATTAAGAATCCTCATGCAAGTCTCAAGGAATGGTGAAAATGGAGCGAAAAAACCCCCAAAACATAATTTTTTAAAACTAAACAGAAATCCTTTTCAGATAAGAAACTTTGATAATGGAAAAGTGCCATAGCTCTCTGCAGAACGTAAATTTAGAAAACAAATTGCATTATTAGTAGCATTATCAAATGTGAAGTTAGAACACCTTCAATTACATTTGATTAAGTGTTCCTCACAATCAATACTGTTCATAGGATGTATATTGGTTTATTTAGTAATAATGTCCCTGGCTTTGTGAGGGAATAATGTGCGGCTAGGATGTTTTTCTAAAAATTATAGCATAAGCATTAAAAAAAAAAAAAAAAACTCAAAATAATGTTATCAGCATAAAGTTAATGACAGGAAACCAGGAAATTCACCATATGTTTCGCGCAGATAGATATCCAGATTTTTGGAAGATTAGGTAATGTGTATTTCCACACTGTGTTTCTGACAGGATGAAGAGCGGTGGCCATCAGTATGTAGTTGTTACGCACTCTGGATTTTCTACCTATCCCTAAAAAAGAGGCATAGGTCTGCATATTTTTTGGTGCCTACTTGGTTGTCATCATAATGTCTGACAACTTAAATAAAAAAGAAATACAGATGGGGCGTGTCAAAACTTGATGGCGAGCGGATGCACATTCCGAGAGCTCAAAACTTCACCTTCTTGATGTCCCCCTCTAAACATAGGAAAACGGGTGACCTGCAACACATACCTGGTTACTTGAAACCAGACAAACATCGAGGAGTGCAAGATGGCGGTTACTCAGCGGTTGCATCACCGTCCTCAGACACTGCCTCAGAATCCCATATCTGCCGCAACTTTCAGAAACTTACCTGGCTTCAGAAAAAAGAATCCATACTAAGCTCCATGAGCTCCAATTAACTTTGCTAGCTGACTTCAGTGTGGACAAGACAGAAGCCCCACTGGATGTACTCTGTGAGGCACATAAGGTTGTGGACAAATTGACCACATTGGCTGTGGACCATGACCGGATCCTTTCCAGACCATAGAAATAATGTGTGGAAGTGAAGCATGCCAGAATCAGTCCTCACTGCCACAGTATACGCTATCTCTATTTAAAACCAGCTTACCAGCACTTCCAAAGCAGAATGGCTCAAGAATTGAGCTCAGCATCTCCCTGTCAGGACAAACCAGTGGCCCAACACACAGATTTAAGTAAAACACGTAACAAGTACAAACAGTAACAACGTATTACCGAGCCTTAGAATGGCCGGAATTAACGTAATAGAAAAAAGTCACAAACCGAGGTCAGGAATACAGAAAGGAACAAATACGGAAAGAACAAAGCCAAAGGGTCAGGGATACCAGAAATATAGGAAGTCAAGTCAAGCCAAGATCAAAAATCTGAATCAGGAACAAGCTCTCGGATAACAAACAGGATGGAAACCATGACAGGGCACTGAACAACTGCAGGTTTGGGTTTAAATAACCCAGTAAATCCTGCTATTGGCTGATTTGGGTCCCATTACCCCAGAATGTGCGTGCACGGTGAAAACATGATGCCGCACACACATTCACGTCACTAGTGATGTCATTGTGGGCGGCGTTATTAATTAGTGCCGTCTTGCAGCGGCCGGCGTCCCTCCCAGCGCTGGACCCAGCCACCGATCCACAAACAGCATGGAGGGAGAGGCTCTGGGGGTGAGGTGAGTAGCCTCTCCCTCCTTTAGTGCGATCGCGCCAATCAGGCGCGGCCACACTGTGGTGCCGATTGAGCACTGCAATAGTGTGACCGTACCGATCAGGTGCTCAGAGAATCAATTGTCGCCAAACTCCTGCGGAACCACAACACTGCATATAGGTGGGGATATCCCACCATGCTCCTGATATAGAAGAATGGCCCAAGCACTGTTGTGTTGCCCCCACAAAAAGGCCTCTGGCTGTTGAGGGATTGGAATATCATGGATCCTGATCAACTCATTCACCCAGTCCCCTCATCTTCTCTTTGCTGTAGCAGTACATACATAGTTGCACTTTCTCAAACCTCCTGTTATACCCTCCAGGTGTTTCTATTCTAAAACATATTTTGCGAGACGTTCACTCTGTTTAGCATTAGCTACTATAAGCTGAACACTAACAATCATTGACACTATTCCCCTTATTCCCTGTATCTACCCAAACATACCATACACTTGTTGGAGATGTAGAACCAAAAAAAGGATCGCTAATCCACATCTTCTAGTAATGTGCGTCCATCAATCTATTCTGGTTGGATATGCAAGCCCTCATTCACAAGCTAACACAAATTTGGCTCCCTTGTAAACCACAATTCTTTCTGTTAAATATGCTTCCCCAGATGATTTTTAGATATCGACATACTTTAGTCTTCCACATTTTCACCGCAGCTATAAACTCTATAAGTCAATATTGGAAATCACATATCCCACCAATCATTCAACTAGTAATCCAGTCACTGCATACAAGGCGGGTTTACGAAGAGATGGCTCATCAGAACCTAGACACGAGAACAAAGTTCAATCAAATCTGGTCTGACTGGGATGCATGTTCTATGCCTTAATACAATTGTACCCCAAGATACCCATTAATCTATTCCAATACCTTTCCCCCTTTATCCCGCCACGTTTCTCCAGGTTACCCTTCCCATTTTTTCTGCTCTAAGCTCACAGAGCTTTCATTTATGATAATTGAAGATTATGCTAGCTAGTGTACATATAATCTTAATTTTATTAAGGACAGGAGGCGAATATTTTGCTTAACTTTTTTTTTACTAAAACTCCATAGCAGCACACGTTTGACTAAAAACAGAAAGAACCAATCAGAAAACAACAGAGGTAATAGGAATCCCTTCCTCTGATGACTCATCCTCTTTCATGCTGCGAAAGAATCGATCAGGAACAGATGACCAAACGAAACTGGATGAATCCATTGGGAAGTAATCAACAGAAAATCCAGAAAATTTCCATAGACAATGGGATAAGGCCTTAGGCACGACATCCATGAGGAACTTTAAACTAAAACGAAAGAACAGGGTTGAAAAACAAGGATTAACCGAAGAAATGGACTTGAAAAACGGCATGGAAGTCGTACATGTTCGCATATTCCATGAATATAATGTTATAAAATAAATCACAGACACATCAGATGACCATTACAATATAATAGTAATATACTATAAAATTAGATATTGTATAGTATACATACCTACCACTTCCAAAATCCAATGTTATAAAAACCCGGGTAGGGAGAAAATGGACTCAATAACTGCTAGGGATAACAAACATCTGATTTAATGAGCCAAAGTAGTAAATGAAACTGGGCAGTGAGGTCGAACATAGGAGATTAACAGTTGAGCAGAATAAGAGGATCAGAGAGATGCGGTGACTTCTGTATGGTGGGATAGTGCTGAAGCTACACCAAGTTTAGGAGAATCTCTAAAATGGTGATAAAAAATCGTAGAAGAATCTGATTTAGTAAGTCTAGACACAGATATAGTAACCCCCTCCGGATTGAAGGTAAAAGCATCTACATCGAGTGCCCGAACATCTGAGACTTGACAGAAAGCAACAAGAGAAGAGTGAATTTCTCTGAAGTTGATGAAGGGAAAGATCTTTATTATCTGGCCAATCTAGAAGGAATCTCAGGACGAAATAAAGGTGTGACTATTTAGGTGCCAGAGGATGCAAGGTTTGATGACTCTCAGAAGTCTACAGATCAAAGGGTCCTGTCCAACAGGAGAACCCTGAACTTGGACATGTGCCGAACGGATCACATTAATGGAAAGATACTATTTCACTAGATCAAAGAAGTAAGACAGAAAAGACTAAGGGAACAGGGGCAATAAAGGGATCGGTATGCCATTCCAGGCACCAACTACACCAGCCATTCCAGGCGGAAAGATAAAATCTCCTAGTTGCCGGGGCCCAGGAGTCCCAGAGAAGAACTCTAGCTGTCTGCGATATGCAAATTCCCAGTAAGAGTCCAGGCTACCAAATGCAGATGGTCTTCTGTCACCGTCTGATGAAGATTACCCCTCGAATCAGAAAGGGGGTTCCGATATTGACGAGAGGAGTAGTGGGTCTCGATAAAACAAGACCAGAAGGTCCGGGAACCAAGCCTGGCCCTGTCAAAGCAGTATCAACAATACCGGAGTGACATGTTGGCAACGAAATTGAAGGAGAACTCCAGAAATCATAGCGAATGGAGGAAACTTGTCAGTCCTGGGGAAAAGTATTCACCGCTGTGCACTCGTGATCAGGGAGCCAGCTGAAGAACTTGGGAGTCTGGTAATTAGTCCGGAAGGCAAATAGATTTATCACGAATGGACCCCTCAACTGCGAGATGTGAAGGAAGATCGATCGATGGAGATGCCAGTCGTTGGTGTTCCTCCAACTCCGGGAAAACCAATCAGCTGTTAGATTCGCTATACCTGGTAAGATGTGACCTGGCGTCAAGGTGGTCGATGTACTTTATTGCCAACATGTTCTCCATTCTCAGCAAGATGCAGCAGTCTGATAAATTATTGGCGAAACTTGGGATTGCGAAAGAACCTGCGATCAGCTCTGGACAATTGATGTGGAAATCGGCTTCTCCAATCGTCCAAGGACCACCAGTCGATGTGGTCGCACAAGTTGCTCCCCAACCCCAAGACTCACGTCTGATTCCATGGCAAAGTCTAGGACAGGACTGAATATCACCTTT